GGACAGTCACAACTTTGTAATGAACATCGCCCACCCCCCTCCCCAACTACTAATCTCGGGGTAGAACAAACCCCCCTCCCCAACTACTAATCTCCAAGCAGATGTTGGGGTACAACAAAACATGATCTGTTCCCACATTTTTCCACGGGTACAAAAAAAAGCGAGAAGAAGTTGTACCACTCTGTATTAGTTCAGTGACTAGAACACTTTGTATTAGCCTAGTATTAATAGTACGCTGAACGAAAGGCTAAGGACCGTGATGCCTGGCGGGAAAAAATGAAGAGGAGCAAGGGGCCAGTTCTGGCCTAAGCATTTGGCAGTAGGCAGTTAGGCAGTATTAATAGTACCCTTGTATGTTCCTTATGTATGTATGTCTAAGCAAGGACATTATACAGTATATAATGTCCTTGGTCTAAGTCAAGTAGTGCATCTCTTGTCTCCACTTTTATATATATGTTTGTTATGTGTCTGCTATATCTTGACCTGAACCTAGCCCGTCGTGGCATGAATGTACAATTAAAGGCATTTTCAATTTTAATTCATAACTATGCACTTTTCCACTTTTCATTCATACAGCATAGATATGCTTACTTTACAGTTATCGAACAATGTCAGCTGCGAACAATATTGTTACAACGTTGAACTAATTTTGCTGTTGTAATTTACGTCTCCTTTCAGCGACTTTACTAGTCTACAGCTACACAGGTACACCGCCTGCCGATGGCACTTACGTTGTACTGCAGTTTATGCAGTCTGAAAAGTACTTGTATCGCAACGAAAATGGTGAACTTCGGCTGAAGGTGAGTTTGTTTGTTTGTTTATTTAAATACAACAGTGCATAACAAGTGGCAACCAGGCATCAACAAGGCTGGTAGCGGCTACCACTGACACGTAAGTGCATAAATACAAGAATACAAGGCATATCAAAATACAATATTACTTAGTACGTACAAATTCAATTCAATATTATACAATAGCAATGTACATGAAAAGTACATACAAATCCAATCAATACAGAAGCAATACAATATAAGTACAATACAAATCGATAAAATGATCAAAGTTGAAATGGAACGGTTGGAGGATTTTTATTTACAATTGGTGTTTGGGTAATCAGGATAAGAGGTGGTGTTTGCATTTGGCCTTGAATATGGAGAGTTTATATAGATATAGAGACATGAGAGAAAGGAACTGATAATCATAAGTAGGTTGCTAATATAATTGCCTTGCAAAAACGCATCAGCTAACAAGAGTTCCGAGATCTCATACCCCATGAAAATGGGCTTGACACGTAATTGTAAATTTCTTCTTTAATTATGCAAATGACCTCTACATTAACATAATAAATGCACGGTGATTTTAATTAACTTACACATGTCCCAAGTATGAAATTCCCATCATTTACCACTAAGGAGTCGTAGAATTTTCAGATTAATCATGAAAATTCTGTAGTTAAATTATTGGTATCTGGTGATATTCGTCCTGCCACAGATTATGAATATTTCATGTATCAAAGTCCCATGATGCAAAACACTGGAATTAAAGGATTGTGCTGGCTACAAATGTGCGGAAACACAAGCACACAGACAGACACACACACACACAGAGGCAGATACGTACACAGACATGCCAAAAACAATACTTCCATATTTCATGCAGGTAACTAGAACAGGGCCACTAAAATGTTTGTCTCTATTCTGACAGAAAGATGACTTTCATCCGGAAAGTGCCACGGGCATCACGACAGCTGCCGACCCACGAGTGTTCCTGATCAAATCGGGGAAACATTCGCGGGACTTCGTGATCAAATGGCAAGGCTCCGCCCGTCACACCATCACCCTGCTTCCACAAAGCGGGAAACCCGTCGAACTCCAGCCCCTTGGAGGTAAGATTTTTAAACGTCTCCTTCATATTGTTGCTGCTTCGATGACAATATTGGCATTGGCAACGTGGGGTCGTGTGAGGTAGCGGCAGAGTGCTCGACTCGGAATCAAGAGGTCCTGAGTTCGAGTCCTGACATGTCACCGATCTTGTGCCCCTGGGAAAAGCACTTTACACGACTTTCCTCACTTCGCTCAGGTGAAAATGAGTAGTGTACTGTCCCATGTGTTGGTGGCGGCATCAATATAAGTTTAGAAAAACTTGAGTGTTCCGTCACCCTGTCTTGTTGTTACATGTTGGATTGTAAAAGAAAATATTGGCATAGAGAAAAAGAACTTGTTATAAATAATGAAAAAGCGAAATAATGAAGACATCGCCATCGCCAAAAAGTAAAAGATCAATCATATTACACTTCATTTAGAATGTTTGATTCTAGGCACACATGTAGCCTTTTAAATAATAATAATAATAATAATAATAATAATAATAATGATAAATAAACTGCGCCTGTCATAGATTTCATTAGTTGTTTGTTTCAATCTATTAAGATAGTTCGAAAGTAACTGTAACCTAAAAAATATAGAAGAAAGGTAAAGATGAAGTAACTTGTTTGATAAGCTAGACCCGTAAGTTTGAAGTAGGTTTAAAAATACAGAAAGAAAGCTGAAGTAACTTGTTTGGTAAGTTTGAACCTATTTTTTTCCACAGTAAATGGACCATCGGATGGGCAGCTGTTCAAACTTGAATTGCCGATAGTTCGTGCTGCTACCGAGTCCGATTCCCTGGTAACTGCAGTGGACGTACCGTTCCCACACCCCCTAACACCAAGCGATGCTAACGATCAGTTTGGCGAGAGTCAGGTCGAGCTTGACGACTGAATAAAGTCGCTCTAAAGATGAGGCATATCATCGTTAAAATAAATCATAATCACGAAATACAATTTTTTCAATTGTGCACAGACTTATCCTAGAAGACCATAAAATGTGTGTCGTTTTGTAATTAATATAGCTGAAAGATTAGATCATTTATACCTCCGGGGGAGGAGATATCGGTTTGAGGTTTTCATGTTCGCAGCTGTTTCTTGCGTTGTGGTGGACGGATTGTTTTGGGACTCCGTATATATTGTGCTATTGGGCTGTAGATGATGCACGTTCTTTTGCTTTTATTGTATATGTGTTTTCGGGCGTGAGAATTAATACTTTTGGTGGACCGCGGACACCCCTTTGCACTTGAAAATGGTCGCGACCGTTGACCTTTGTTGTGTTGAAAGTATTACAAGTCTCGTCCACTTGCATGACCTTTCGCACAGAGGGGTGCCCGGTCTCGATACATTCTTTGTTTGAAAATATGCGCCAAAATGCTGTTTTCCAGGGCTGCATACCCAGATTAAGTGACAATATGCACAATTAAAAGAACCTTTGGTCAAAACATATAATTCTTTGCAGATTTATGGTGTTTTTTTTAGTTGGATCGAATCCGGAAGTGGGGGTGGTGGTGTGCGGTAAAGGTAGCGAGTCACAAGTATGCAAATGAGTCTTATGCAAACTTTTGCATACGTGCCTATATTACTACAACTTCTTGTAAAACCTTGTATGTTTGCCGTACATGTACTATAAGCAGCAAGCTTCTGTATATATATGTGACATTTCGGACCCCAGTCACTATATTTACGATCGAAACATTTGTGGATACGCACCATGTGCCCGCGTTTTGCTTCCTCAGGAATGTATGCCGTAACACTGATTACCTGTTATTTTTAACGTCTGATTTAACGGTTTCGGTTGTCATTCTGAGTTTCATAACGAGTTCCTTGCGGCAGATTAAATAGAATTTTATAAGTTCATGGGTACATGTCATAAGCTGCAGATGAAAAAGTTGACCTGTGTTAACACAACCTGGAAATCTAACACATGAAATTTGACACCATCAACTATTCATAAGAAACAATATATAATAATACACAATAAAAAGCCAGGAGGTATAAAATCTCATATTTTACTTGTTTGTAACTGCAATCAGCCCTCGGGCAAGTATTTGCAAAAAAAAAAAAACGTTCATAAACATGTACCATAGGCACCTACCTTGCCTAGTAAGGTCCTCTACATAGTTGATTTGCATCCACAGAGATTGTGCAGTTTCTGTAGACATACAAACAAGGATCATTAGTATTTGTAGTATACGCATATATGTATTTTATCTATACTATGCCTTAGGTTACACGGCTTAATTGTATGTATAACATCCTCTGAAGACCCCCGAACTAGTACGCGCGGGCGAATAAAATAAAAAATCCGGCCAAAAATAAAAATGCTACTAAACCACAGGAATACAAAGGTGGTATTGTGAATTTGCGGTAGTACATAGCAACGTATACGACAAGCCGGTACATGCTGACTTTGTTAGGAATTCATGAATCGGCATAGTACGTATGTACTGAGTTCTTGAGTCGTGGAGCTTCTGTAGCCTGGGTGCCATCCTCCATAGGTACCACCGGCTCCGTATTGTCCCTACCATGGACTACCCAGGCCTAGAACCAGGCCAGAGCCTCGGTGGACGTGATTTTTTTGGCGAACAGGCGAAAATCAATGCGCGCACGGATGTCATCTATAAAATTAAGTCGGTGTGGCCTTATATGCAAATAACAACAGGTGGCTATTAAGTAACCGTTCCACTAGATGGCGCTCTGGAATACCGTTGCTCGAAAGTTGGTAATGTCGTCGTCGGTAACGGAAGCATGGTATTTTCCCATATATGCAAATATAATTCATTAATATATGCAAAATTTATGCACACATGCAAACACATGCATACATTACTACAACTTGTGTACCCCATGTATCATAAGCAATTCATTCTACATATAACGTTACCCCTTTGCACTCTCATTCTTTCTACCTCAACCTTAGGCTCTCCCACACACCCCTGCTCACTCTTACGCACCCTGCGCACTCTCATGCAACCTGTGCACTCCCACGCACCCTGTGCACTCTCATTCAACCCTCTTAAACATGATTCACCCCCACGCACCCTGTGCACTCTCATTCAACCCTCTTAAACCTGATGCACCCTATGCACTCTCAACCTTCTTAAACCTGATGCACCCCCATGCACCCTGTACACTCCCATTCAACCTTCTTAAACCTGATGCACCCCCACGCACCCTGTGCACTCTCATTCAACCTTCTTAAACCTGATGCACCCCCATGCAACCTGTGCACTCTCATTCAACCTTGTTAAACCTGATACACCACAATGCAACCTGTACACTCCCATTCAACCTTTCCAAACCTGATGCACCCCCATGCAACCTGTGCACTCTCATTCAACCTTCTTAAACCTGATGCACCCCCACGCACCCTGTGCACACTCCCATTCAACCTTTCCAAACCTGATGCACCCCCATGCACCCTGTGCACTCTCATTCAACCTTCTTAAACCTGATGCACCCCCATGCACCCTGTGCACTCTCATTCAACCTTCTTAAACCTGATGCACCCTCACGCACCCTGTGCACTCCCATTCAACCTTCCAAACCTGATGCACCCCCATGCACCCTGTGCACTCTCATTCAACCTTCTTAAACCTGATGCACCCCCATGCACCCTGTGCACTCTCATTCAACCTTCTTAAACCTGATGCACCCCCATGCAACCTGTGCACTCCCATTCAACCTTCTTAAACCTGATGCACCCCATACACCCTGTGCACTCTCACTCAACCTTACCAAACCTGATGCAACCTGTGCACTCTCATTCAACCTTCCCACACCTGATGCACCCCCACGCATCCTGTGCACTCCCACAAATACTGTAATTCTTGATTTTTTAAACATTCACTTGAGCAAATTCAGCTGTCAATATTCCACCGCTGTAATTTTATTACTGCAACTATTCGAAAACTGCAACTACAGAAATAATTACCTTTTTTACACCTTAAAACGTACGTGTCAGGTGCTTACCCCTTCTCCTCAAGCCATTATATAAAGAAAGAGTAATAAAGAAAGGGAGTAGATAAGACAGTATGTGTTTAACCATTTTAATGGCTCTTCGTGAGTAGCTACGAATCAGGTTTATAGGATAGAAAATAAGTGTCCAGGTTTGGAAAGGTGGAATGGGAGTGCACAGGGTGCGTGGGGGTGCATCAGGTTTAACAAGGTTGAATGGGAGTGCATAGGTTGCGTGGGGGTGCATCAGGTTTAAGAAGGTTGAATGAGAGTGCACAGGTTGCATGGGGGTGAATCAGGTTTAAGAAGGTTGAATGAGATTGCACAGGGTGCGTGAGAGTGCATCAGGTTTAAGAAGGTTGAATGAGAGTGCAGAGGGTGCATCAGGATTGGTAAGGTTGAATGAGAGTGCACAGGGTGCATGGGGGTGAATCAGGTTTAAGAAGGTTGAATGAGAGTGCACAGGTTGTATGGGGATGCATCAGGTTTAAGAAGGTTGAATGAGAGTGCACAGGTTGCAGTGGGGGTGCATCAGGTTTAAGAAGGTTGAATGGGAGTGCAAAGGGTGCGTGGGGGTGCATCAGGTTTAACAAGGTTGAATGGGAGTGCACAGGTTGCTTGGGGGTGCCAAGGTTGAATGGGAGTGCACAGGGTGCGTGAGGGTGCATCAGGTTGAAGCAGGTTGAATGAGAGTGCACAGGTTGCATGGGGGTGCATCAGGTTTAAGAAGGTTGAATGGGAGTGCACAGGGTGCGTGGGGGTGACATCAGGTTTAAGAAGGTTGAATGGGAGTGCACAGGGTGCGTG